GGCGGGTAGTGCGGGAATAACTGGTTGTCACGGTGTCTGCCTTTTGTAATAATAAAGCAAACAGTGTGTCAGTTCTGACGGTTTCTGTGGATCGTGCGATTACAGGGCCAAAGGCAACTGATGCACTGGAACACTTTCGGACCAAAAGTCATCACGGCTGGAGGTCCGTGGTGTTTTTATTTAGGCCTTGCAGGTTCCTCCGGTTGCTAGACACCTGGAACCTGGGGCCTGGGACTCGCCCATTGACTAATAAGGAATTATTTGGCGTTATTTCCCCACACTACCGCAGGCCCCCTCAATTTGGCTTTGGTTATTTGGATGAAAGAAATTGGTTTTAATAAAAGTGTGGCCCATATTTAAACCCAAAGAATTGGTGTCTTGCGTCTTCATTTCAGGGCTTGGGGGAGCAAATTAGTCTTCCAAACATACAATTTTGGCAAATTTTCATACTTAAGCAATCACATTTGTAAACGAAGCCCACGTTTAGCTCCAGATTGATCAATCACAAAGCAAGTATGAAAAATTTATTCTGTGATAATCAGACATCTTGCACATTTATGGAATGCCCTCTTCTAATGATAATGTCATCTGTAACATACTTAGACTCCTAATCAACTCCATTATGAATCAGAGATCTTAGATATGAGAAAGTGTCCGTTGGTACTCCCTTCATGTCTTGTGACCTTTGCTCCAATACCAGACATTCTTTTTATTAACTTTCCTTCACTGGATCTGAGGCCTTTTCTCCTGGAATGCAGACACATGGTTTTGAACTCACCTATATTTTTCTGTATCAAATCACACTTCCTCAGAGAGACTCTGATCACTGGAGGAGACAATGTTATTAATGTGAATGTACAAAGACCACAGAGAAACCTATAGTGTCAAAGCTTTCACTATAATAGATTCATACTATGAATCTCTTCCTAATTTTGAATCCAGCCTAGTTTCTTTATAGTTCAGATTTTCACCTCTTATTTTTTTTTCCACTGGCTCTCCAGGTTGTGCTCTGAACTTAATCTCTCTTTTAAAATTTTGTTTGGCTGCCACAATGGATATATGAACATTCAAGTCTTTTTTATAAGATGGAGATGGGATAAGTTACTATACTTTCCTATCTGGAGTTAGGGGGCAACTACATTGTCCAATTTACTCACTTGTTAACCAAAGAGTCTTGGAGATTATAGGGACACTTCAGAATCTCATGTGCAGGATCATTTAGCAGATTTAAAGGCAGTTGTTATCTGGCTTGGGACACTTGAATTCATTTCAGCAGCTAGGTGTTGCTCCTTTACTACTCCTTTACCTGTCTGTGGTTTTGTGCATGAGCAACACATACTCTTTCATTGAGTTATGGGTCTGCCCATCAGAAAGCTTCTCCTAAAGGTATAGGACCAAATATATCTTAGCAGAGCAGAATACAATAGTTTTCACATATCTACATTTACTAATTGATTGATTAATTGAGCAATCATCAATTTGCCAGTAGATATTCTAGAATTTACTTGACATATACCCAGAAACAGCTGAATATATCCTGTAATTTAATGCAAGTATCTTTTATCACTCCCTAATTTTGTTTACATTGCAGTGCATCAAATGCTTTTAAAAATTTATGTCTGCTGGTAAGCAGTAACTAAAACCTAACCACAGCTGAAGAGGAATATTGGAACTGATCAGAAGTCTCAGTGTACCTGTGATACACTGTAGCTCTTGCAAATAAAACACATTTCTGATACACATTAAAAATCAATATCCCACAATTTTTACCTTAATCTCCACTTTAGTTATGCAAATAATTCTTGTCGTCTCTTGCAAAAATTTCACTGAATCTGCAAATTAATAAAAGCTTACTTAGTTCATGAGTGTCAAAACCAAACAATGGGAAAAGTTATCAGTATGCCCTCCCCCTCAAAATATGTTTTATAGTAAGATAAATGTTGATGGCAAAACCAAACAATCAGTCTATAAAAAAATCCATCCATCCATCCATCCATCCATCCATCCATCCATCCATCCATCCATCCATCCATCCATCCAACCAACCAAACCAACCAACCAACCAACCAACCAACCAACCAACCAACCAACCAACCAACCAACCAACTACAGTTAGTGCCATTTTGGTGGCCCTCTAAGCAGAGACCAGAGTTGTCAATGGATAGAACCTTTTCTTTCACTAGTTTGGGAAGTTGCCCAGACTGGACTTCAAAGGAGAAATGGTTGCATGGTCAATAGACTAAAAGCGAGGCCCTCCAAACCTTGAACTTCCACCAATTCCATTGCTTCACTGCCAGAAATACATTGCCCCAGTGCTTTCATGGAGTTTCCTATTTGGACATGATGCTTAGCAGAACTACACCTATTATTTATTTATTTATTTATTT